GGGAAGAGAGAGAGAGAGAGAGAGAGAGAGAGAGAGAGAGAGAGAGAGAGAGAACATGCTAGAGAGAGAAAGAGAGAGAAAGGCTCAGCTTACCTTATCCTTTGTTTTTAAAAATTATTTTTATTTTTTATGGGGATGAGTGTTCACCTACATCTCTATATGTGTGCCACCTGTGTGCCTGGTGCCTGTGGAGGTCAGAAGAGTGTCATCCCCTGGAACCAGAGTTATAGACTGTTGTGAGCCACCATGTAGGTGCTGGGAATTGAATCTAGATCCTCTGCAAGAGCAGCAAGCACCTTAGCCCGCTGAGCCATCTTGCCTGCCCCATTGTGTTTACTTTTTAAATATATATGAAGATTATTGGTTTACTGGCTAGAAATAATAGAGTCATGGGAGTTGGATTACAGCCCCCCACCTTGACCTCTGACTCACTGAGTCATGTTGGGGAAGCCATATTTTCCCTCACTCAGTGTCTTCAGAACTATAGCAAGTTGTCAATTAGATCCTCAATAGGTCAAAGTACTTTTTTTTTTTCCTCTAGAGACAGGGTCTCACTATGTAGACCAGGCTGACCTCAAACTCACGGAGATCATCCTGTTTCTGCCTCCTGAGTGCTGGGTCTAAAGGCATGCGCCACCATGCTCAGCCTCAAAGACTTTTTAAGGTTATAGTCTTTACCTTTTATTAAAAGCAATGACAGTGTGCATTTGAACTGGATGGTGACAGTTGACATCTTACGCAATTGGCTTGGGTTGAGGAAAGCTTGACTCCCTCAGGATACGTAGCTGCAGATGTGTTACAGTGGTGCACAGCAGTTGCCCTTGCAGCTAAGGACACTTGTCAGACACACGGTAGCAAAGCTGGAGGCCTTCCCCAAAGCTGTTCCACCTGTGGGCACCCCTAGGAATGGGGATGGGGTGGGACAGCATTACCTCTTCTTTCTCACCCGTGCTGGGGCCCAAACCTGCCGCCTCATGTGCTCTGCAGCTGGGCCGCATCCACAGCCCAAGATGCATTTATTTCAACCTGTATTTTTTAAAGTGTTGAAATGGGCTCACTATGTAGCCCAGGCTAGAACTTTCTTTGTAGCTCAGGTTGGCCTTAAATTCACTATTCTCCTGATTCAGCTTCTCCAGTGCCAGCATACTCAGCAACAACCTATACCTTTCATTAAAATCTTTTTATTTTATTTTTTTTTGTGGTAGTGCACACCTTTAATCCCAGCACTCGAGAGGCAGAGGCAGGTGGATTTCTATGAGATAGAGGCCAGCCTGGTCTACATAGCGAATTCGAGGCCAGCTGGGGCTACATGGAGACCCTGTCTGAAACAAATGGACATAAATAAATAAATAAATAAACAAACAAACAAACAAATGCTAGGTACTAAAATCAAACGCTAGCATTTTGGCTTTCCTCCAACTTTGATCATTCCTTCTCATCTTCCCTTTCTGTGTGTTATTTT